GTAATTTCACTGTTTATTTGTAAATGATTCACTGAAAATTATGTTTAAATTGGTTCTTTTAATGCACTTTGCTCCATGAGGTTTTTGTTTATATCTACGCGAAAGCCTTGGAAAGGTTTGGTAAGTGGACGGAGGGTCTAACGGAGGTACAGTTTGTCAGAGACGACCTTACAATAGGGTAATTTTAGGGGTATGGTTCACAATGATTTAGTTTTTTGCACTATCTTCTTCTCTTTCTTCTTTTTCTTCTTTTTCTTCTCTTCCTTCTCTTTCTTCTCTTTCTTCTCTTTCTTCTCTTTCTTCTCTTCCTTCTCTTTCTTCTCTTTCTTCTCTTTCTTCTCTTTCTGTTCTTTCTTCTCTTTCTTCTTTTTCTTCTCTTCCTTCTTCTTCTTATTCGAATCTTATTCTCCATCTTCTTCTTATTCTTATTCTCCATCTTCTTCCTTTCTTATTCTCCATCTTCTTCTTTTCTTATTCTCCATCTTATTCTTTTCTTGTTCTCCATCTTCTTCTTTTCTTGTTCTCCATCTTCTTCTTTTCTTATTCTCCATCTCCTTCTTTTCTTATTCTCCATCTTCTTCTTTTCTTATTCTCCATCTTTTTCTTTTCTTATTTTCCATCTTCTTCTTGTAAATCTCTACATTTTCTTTTTTTCACTCTCCTACCTTACCTTCTTTCCATTTTTATCCCCTTTCTCTACATTCTCCCATCCCCATTTTTCCTCTTTCTCCCCCCTCTCCTTGCAAATAATAAACGGAGATGAGTAGAAAAAGTCTAAAGAAGGGATGAGGAAGGGATGAAGAAGGATGGGGAAGGATGAGGAAGGATGAGGAAGGATGAGGAAGGATGAGGAAGGATGAATTGGTGAATGCAAAGTGGGTCCGCGTATACTCTGGTTTAAATGTGTGTATCATGAAATACAGCTTGTTGAAGATGAACTTCATAAATCTATATTTTTAACTAGCAGGCTCATAACACCAAGCAATACCTGCATATTTCTTAAATTCTTGCACTAGAGGGGAGGCTTAGGTCAATACTTAATGTTTCCTTTATCTTATGATAATAAAAAGGTCTTTAAAATATTGCTTAAGATTTAATGTACTGAATGTACATTGAATAGTATCTTAAATTGATGAAATTCGTCATAAAATTTAAATTAGTTTAAATCGATAAAAAAATCCGATTTATGAACATTTCTAAAAAAAATTTATTTTGTAAATAACAGTTGTAGAATTGATATATTATAGTCAAGGTTTGGTGTAATTTTCTAAATGGGGTGTCATGCAGTACGTTAGACATTGGACCCTTGACAACAGAAAAACAACCTTGGTTCTATTTAATACTTTTTATTTTAGACTAATTTCTCAATTCTTAAGGTACAAAAACGGCAGATCACATTTTGGAAATTTCAAAACAATTTGCATTTGATGCTACCCAATTTTTGGGAGGCAATGTTATGCTTTCAAGATTTTAGCGACAGTATCTCCTTTTCTGCTTCAAGGCCCACGATCCACCAAAGTTCTTATTTGATTTGAAACCTGAATACTAAACGAACACTGATGCTTCTATTCTTGTTTACAAATATCGCCCAGACAGAACTGGTTTCAATATGTACGCAGAGTATACACAACTGAAATTAACTTTTCTTTCCTATATCTTTGCAACCCAATGGCATAGACCATAGATATTTAAACTATAAATTCTTTTACACTATTAGGTTGCAAAGATATAGGGATCAGAAGGTCTGAGTTTGAAGCAAAAACTCAATGACAAATGTCTATCCAACTCTATTTCTTTTCTTTTTTTATTTTAACAAAAAATCTTCCAGTATTAAGTAATTTCTAAAGAAAACTTTAATTGCAGGTTATCCAATTGTCCCAAACCAACATATCCGGCGTAAAGGGGGCGGAGGAAGAAGAAGGGCGGAGCTTAGGCGTATTTAAACGCGCCTTGGCGGACGAGCACGAGACCCTGGTCTGCCTCAAGCTTGTCTCCGCCTCAGAGGACGGAGGGCGGAGACTTCTAGACCATCCCTCCGGTCTCTTTACTGTAGCGGTGTGCGTGATGTCAAATTTCAGGTAAAAAAAAGTAACACAATGTTTTTGACCCCTTCCAACTATGCCCCCCCCTTACACTATTTACCCCCCCCTCCCGACTCGTCCCATCCTCATCATTATTATAATATACATATTTGCCCGAAGATACTTAACCTTGAATATGATTGGATAGATTTCTCACTCATTCATCTATTCATCCATTTGTACTCACTCTCATCCTTCCACTTCGCATCTAGAGATTCTTAGCTTTTCCCCCAATCTTTCTGCAGCCCTCTTGTACAATTTGGATTACAACAAGAAAAATTCGCCGACTTTCCTGTTTTTATTGGTGGATTTCAAAAATGTTAAAAAGTTTTTTAAAAATTCTTACTTTTGATACAAGCTTTCCTGGAGGCATTTGAATTTTGAGGGTCCAAAAAAATGCAGGCCGAATCGGTTCAGCCATTTTGACGTTTATTGGTTACAAGAAATTAACCGAATTTGCATGCTAAAAATTCTGTATTATTTGGGTATTCTGTAAGAATTTTGGTCTTAAAGCTTTGAGATAAGCCACTATGATATAGGACGGTCTGTTGATCTATGTGTTATAGTATAATATTGTATGATGTTTACAGCATGATATAGGACGGTCTGTGCATCTATGTGTTATAGTATAATATTGTATGATGTTTACAATATGATATAAGACGGTCTGTTGATCTATGTGTTATATTATAATATTGTATGATGTTTACAACATGATATAGGACGGTCTGTGCATCTATGTGTTATAGTATAATATTGTATGATGTTTACAACATGATATAGGACAGTCTGTGCATCTATGTGTTATAGTGTAATATTGTATGATGTTTACAATATGATATAGGACGGTCTTTGCATCTATATGTTATAGTATAATATTGTATGATGTTTACAATATGATATAGGACGGTCTGTGCATCTATGTGTTTGTTAATATTGTATGATGTTTACAATATGATTCATATCTTGGACTAGGATGCATTGTCTTAATAAGCACAGCATAGCCCTCTATCTAAATATCTATCTATCTTCCTGTAGATACGTTGATTAGATTTAACTAATTTTATAATATTTATCTATTTTTTTTAAATTTTACATAAAATTATATGGAAGGATGTTCATGAACCAAAAAAAAATAAAAGTTATATATTTTTTCTTATCTATTACATATATCTAGATATGCAAAAGAGTATTGTTAAAAGATGTACAATCACAAAATATACCAAAATACGTGAAATCTGAAATAATAAAAAATAATAAAAACTCAGAAAGAAAAAGGTTGCAAATAATCATTAATATAAGGAAACCGACCGTTTAAATTCCGTACAGTCGTCTCGGAAGTGTCATCCTTCATATTATCATTTTATTATTTTTTCTGTTTAACTATCTATCTGGGCAGGTTTCTTAATTAATTGACAAGTATGAATTATGTGGTTGGCTTGATCCAAGATTACGCTGAGATCATCGCAATTTCCCGTCTCATGTTTTATCAGTGATTGATCGCTTAATCTCGGTTCAAGCTCATGGTCTTTAAACACCACAGGATCAGAACAGATTAGCTCTGGGATATTTTTCATCCTTTCAACCTTCCTTTCATTCTTCATTTCAACCTTCCTTTCATTCTTCATTTCAACCGTCATTTCTTCCTTTCATTATTCATTTCATCCTTTCATTCTTCATTTCAACCTTCCTTTCATCCTTTCATTATTCATTTCAACATTCCTTTCATTCTTCATTTCATCCTTTCATTCTTCATTTTATCCTTCCTTTCTTCCTTTCATTCTTCATTTCATCCGTCCTTCATTCATTTAATTCTTCATTTTATCCGTCCTTTATCCTTTCATTCTTCATTTCAACCTTCCTTTCTTCCTTTCATTCTTCATTTCATCCTTCCTTTCTTCCTTTCATTCTTCATTTCATCCGTCCTTTATCCTTTCATTCTTCATTTCAACCTTCCTTTCTTCCTTTCATTCTTCATTTCATCCTTCCTTTCGTCCTTTCACTCTTCATATCAACCATCCTTTCTTCCTTTCATTATTAATTTCATCCTTTCATTCTTCATTTCAACCTTCCTGTCATCCTTTCATTCTTTATTTCAACCTTCCTTTCTTCCTTTCATTATTCATTTCATTCTTCCTTTCATTCTTTATTTCAACCTTCCTTTCTTCCTTTCATTATTCATTTCATCCTTCCTTTCATCCTTTCATTCTTCATTTCAACCTTCTTTCATTCTTCCTTTCTTCCTTCCTTTTTTCCTTTCATTCTTCATTTTAACCTTCCTTTCATCCTTTCATTCTTCATTTTAACCTTCCTTTCATCCTTTCATTTATCATTTCATTCTTCATTTTATCGACTTCATTTTCATCTTGACATCCTTTCTTTCTTCCTTTCTTTCTTTATATTTATCCTTGGTTTCTTCCTTTCGTCCTTCATTACTTTCTATTCGCATTCTTCCTTTATTCCTGCTTAACCTTTCATCTTCCTGGTCTTCCTCTTCATCCAGCCTTTTCTCTGTTCATTCATCCTTTTCTCTGTTCATCCTATCATCTTCTTTCCTGCTCATCCTCATATCCTTTCTTTCTGATCCTGTTTATTCATAATAAAGCTCTTTGCTAATATATATATTAGCTATAGCTGGCCAAACAGCTGAACCAAATTGGCTGAAATCTTTTTAAGGAACCAATGGCTAAAAAATTATAATTTTTTTTTCAAAATTCGTATTTTTTTATGTTTTTAAAATTTTCTTTCCCCCGCGACCCATTTTTTATTAAAGGACTGTAAGCGGCGTTATGTCAAGAGATACTCCTTGCAAATATGGCAATGCCCAATTAACATTGATACCCTTAAAATTGCCATATATTGTCATCTTTGCATGGAAGATCATTTAAAATTACGTTTACAGTCCCTTTAATGAATATTTAATTAGGTGTCAGATGCCCTTAGTATGCTGAGACTGAGGTTTGGGGAGCCGGTTCGATTCAAATTTCTTATAGGTAATTGATTGATTGATAAATTTGATATATCGATATGTGAATTGATCATGGTGGTTGACAATTACTGATGCAATCAAGCAGAGACTTAATGAAAAACTTAAATGTTTGAGAATATTTTTGAAAATGACGAATTGACCAGACCTTCATGTATGATTAAAAAATAAAAATATCTTAAAATTCGGTGTTAAAGATATTCCAAATCTCACAGAATAAAAAAATATCTGGTTATAGTTCCACTTTTTTTGAGAATATATTTCGGTCTGGGTTGACTCTCTTCAGTTCTGAAGATTCCTTTCTGTAGATAATTTATCTTCGATTTCAGATTTTATGCAGAAAATCAGATTCCGTCCATAACTCGAGAATTAACGATTGTGACCTCGACATTCGGAACTTGAAATTCCTCGCAGTAAAAAAGTGATAAAACTTTTATTAAAATCGAATTCTTTTTTTTGCAATTTAACAATTAAGAGGTTTGCTCAGCAACCCTAAGTTGTCTTCATATAGATACATATATATATACATATAAATAATAACTATATAAATATGTCTATTTTGGTAGGTTGGAAATTGCAGTTAAAAACATTTGACATTCGATATTTGTTTTCAAGTCTAAAAACGTAACGTTAGTTAGTTTGTACGTTTAACAGTTCTCTTCTCTCTGTATCGCGAAGGCATGATGTGACAAGAATGTATGAACTTTCGACATGGCATTTTAACCGTGCACCTAAACAATTTAATCATTGTTCATTACAACTTTTTTCTTTCTCATCGAACCCTTAATTACGTTTAAATCTTAAAAAAGACGTTCGGAAAATGATTTACTAAATATATAATTATATTAAATTTCACGATCATTCATCACAATCAGCGGTAGCAGGAGTAGGAGAACAGTTCTCATTAGTTCAAAACAGAGATATAAGTTCTTCCCACACTAACTTATACCCCCTCCCTTTCCATTTTCTCAATATAAGACGG